AGTAGAACACAGTAAGGTGGGTCAGGAGTGGGAGGCTGCAGTTTCATATAGGGTGGTCAGGAACAGCATGTGAATGAAGACATAAAGTGGGTGAGGAAGTCAGCTGTGCTAAACTCATACCATTTACTGAAGGATTACTATGTTCTTTCTATACACCCACTAGTTTATAAATAAGCTCTAAAAAGGCTGAACTGGCAAGAACTAAACTTCAAAAGTGTTTAAATTCGGTCTCCAATCAGAATAACATTTCACGAGCTACAGAAAAGGCTGGCTCAGGTTTCTTTTGCAATGTTGCCCCCTTGTGCTGAGTAAAAACAGTGCAGGGGCAACATATTCTAAGCCCAGATTTCAAGAATCAGGGGGTAGGTTTAGCTCAGCAGTAGAGCACGTACATAGCATGCACAAGGTCATGGGAAGTTGGATCATTGAGTTCAATCCCCAGTACCTCCATTAAAATTTTTTAATACTGTGTGATATCACTTATATGTGGAATCTAAAAAAAAAAAAGACAACAACAGACTCTCAGAGAACAAACTTGTGGTTACCAGGGGGAAATGGGGGTGGTGGGAGGGGAAATATTGGGAGTTAGAGATTTGCAGATATTAACTGATATATATATATATATACTATATATATATAGAGAGAGAGAATAGATAAACAACAAGTTCATGATGCATAGCACAGGGAACTATATTCAATATCTTTTAGTAACCTATGGTGAAAAAGATTATGAAAACAAATATATGTGTGTTCATGTATGACTGAAGCATTGTGCTGTACACCAGAACTTGACACAACATTGTAAACTGACTATACACCAATAAAAATCTACATATACAGAAAAAGAAAAAAAAAGAATCCATGGCTGTCACCTTGATTGAGAATTCCCAACCTACCCCCGGACATGAATACAGTACATGTTCCAAAATATAGAAAAAATATTGCAATGCAAGCATGTTTTAAATCCCCAAGTCTTATATGGGTAAGATCAATCTAAAAATCCACTTTGCAAACATATAAATAAAATTCTATTTTGTTAACTATATTAACATTTATCAAATGTGTTAATAATATTTATATGTTTTAACCAAGTAAGACTTAACACTTTGGATGCAAGGAAAATTCTCATCATGATTACATTAAGAAGAAAAGTCAGGACAACTTTGTTAAGGAGAATTAAAAGAATTACCAATTATTGAGCATCTCTTCCATGTCAGACACTGTGTTGGTTTAGGTTCATCCTTAAAAAAATTTTTTTTTCTTTTTTTTAATGAAGGTACTGGGGATTGAACCCCAGACCTCGTGCATTCTAAGCATGTGCTTTACCACTGAGCTATTTCCCTCCGTCCAGGATTCATTCTTAATTAAACTCAGTATACTATGAGAGAATTATTTCCCCCACTTTATCAATGACTTACATGAAATTCAGTGAGACTATGAAGATCCCATAGCTGGTAAATGGGCATTGAAGTTGAACTAAGGTTTATTTACTCCCAGACCTAAAGTTCTGGTACATAGATGTGAAAAGTTCTTTCTTAACCGGATAGAAAGTGTGCATCTTAAACCGGGGTTCAACCTGCTACTTAATATTAAGTAAGAAGGGATAGCTGGGTACATCTTCAAAAGGATAAGATAGATACATCTCAAGCCAGACATGAGTGTCAGGATTCATGGGAAAACACTGCGAGCATTCTTGTTTAAGTTAGGGAGGAGACAAATTTCTAATGTGAAAAAACTAGATGAACGAGACTTCACAATACTTCTGAGAGGGGAAGAGAAGATTTGGGCAAATGGAAAGGCAAACCATGATCTTAGATGGGAAAACTCAGCAACATAAACATCTCCCCAGGTTAATTTGTAAATTTAAGATGATTGTTATAGAAACATTAGTAGGAACTCTTTTTTTTTGAACTATATTAATTCATTTTAAAGCTCATGTGAAGAAAAATTGCTAGGAATAATGAGGGAAAGAAAAAAAATAACTCTAACCAATACTAAAATATATTAAAAAATTAAAATTACTAAAACAGATTCCTCAGAATACATTTGCAGAAGAAAGTCAAGATAATAGACCCATATACCCGGAAATTTACTGTGTAATAAAGATGTGGTCTCAAGTAAAAAAAAAAGTGGATCATTTAACGAATAGCATTTGGAAAATTGGGAGTCCACCTGAAAAAAGGTAAAATTGGAGCTATACCTTTTATCTTATACCAAAATGAATCCTAGGTGGACCAGACTTAAATCTAAAAAGGGAAACCCATAAAAGTGCTAGGAACCAAGCGCAAATTTTTTTATAACTTGTCTTAATCTTTTTGGGCTGTTATAACAAAATATCAGAGACTGTGGGTAAGTTATGAAAAACAAAAATTTATTTCTCACAGTTTTAGAGGCTGGGAGGTCTAAGATCATGGAACTGGCATGTTTGGTGACTGTTGAGGACCTGCTTCCTAGATGGTGTTCTATGTGTCCCAGCAGTGCACTCCCCTCTTACCACCCAAGGGGCAGGGACCAGCTGACCCCAGGACAAGAGTCTGGCCTGTGTTTGCAGACTCACTCTGCAGGCTGTGGGGTCCTGGTTTTCTTGCTTCCGGTGCCCGCCCCCTGGTGGGTGAGGCTGATCTTGAGGCTTGTGCAGGCTTCCTGGTGGGAGCGGCCAGTGCCTGCCCACTAATGGGTGGAGCTGGGTCCTGGCTCTCTGGCGGGCAGGACCATGTCTAGGGACATGTCTAGAGGTGGCTGTGGGCTCAGGAAGTCTTTAAGCAGCCTGTCTCCTGCAGTATGGGGATGTGTCCCCACCCGGTTCATTGTTTGGCCTGAGGCATCCCAGCACCGGATCCTACAGGCTGTTGGGTGGGGCCAGGTCTTGGTGCTAATGACCCACGTGAGATGTCTGCCTCCAGGAAGGAGAGTTCATGCAGATGAATGCTCCTCAGTATGTTCACTACTGTGTTCATGTCCCTGGGGTGAGCCACAGCCACCCCCTGCCTACCTAGTACACCCTCCAAGACCAGCAGATAGTTCTGGCCCAGGCTCCTATGAAATTACTGCTTTTGCTTTTAATCCCAGTAAGCATGAGATTTTAAAAGTGAAGTGTCCATTTCCTCCAGTCCTGTGGAGCTCCCGCAATGAAACCTCGCTGGCCTTCAAAGCCAAATATTCCAGATGCTCTTCTTCCTGGGGCCAGACCCCCGCGGCTGGACGGCCTACTTGGGGCTCGGAACTCTCACTCCTGTGGGAGAACCTCTCCAATGTAATTACTCTCCAGTGTGTGGGTCACCCACCCAGGGTGTGTGGGATTTGATTATATCGTGAGTTCACGCCTCCTACCTGTCTTGTTGTGGTTTCTTCTTTACAGCTTTAGTTACAGAAGCTCTTTTCTGGTAGCTTCTAGTCTTTTTATCGATGGCTGCCCTGTAGTCAGTTGGGATTTTGGTGTGTTTATGAGAGGAAGTGAGCTCTGGCTCCTTCTACTCTGCCATCGTGCCTGCCACTCCCCTGTTATCTACTGGCGCACATCAGTGTGAATTATGTCACCCCCTTTCTCGCGAAAAACCCTTGGCCTCTTCCCAGATCCCTGAGGATGTTATTCTGCGTCTGCCAAAGAAACACCCTCTGCAACTCTCACACAAGCCTCCCTTGTCCCTTTCCTCCTGGAGCTAGTCATTCTGAAGGGCCCAGCGCAAGGCTCTCCGCAAACATTAGCTATAACTAGATTAATTGTTCTTGGCTGCCACTGGAATCACGTGGAGAGTTTAAAAAAATACTGACGTCCAGATTTTACCCCAGGGATTCTATTGAATTGATCTGGGGTGTTTTCTGGGCATTGGGAATTTAGATTTAGGCTCTTGGGACAATCACACCTGAAATCCAGCTGCCAGACTGTGAAAATGAACAAGAAGCCCCAGGGAGAGGACAACAGGTGAGGTCCCAGCCTACAGCCAATGTCAACCAGACTTGTGAGTGAAGTGAGTCTTCAGATGATTACAGCCTCCTGCTCTTGAGTCTCCCCAACCTTTAAACCACTCCAGCTGATGCTGCATAGAGCAGAGCTGAGCCCTGTCCAAATTACAGACTCATGAGGAAAATAAATAATTATTGTCATTTGTAAGGCACTAAGTTTTGGGGTGAATTATTACCCAACAAAGACAATAAATACAATGGTCATTTTTATATTATTTGGTTAATCTAAAGACCCAGCCACACTGTTGCCAGTTGAACAGGGTTCTTCTAGAAGGAAAGATCGCAGTCCTTGCATGCAAGCGTGTATCTCAGAAGAGAAACTGAACTTGGGAGTCAGGACTTTCGGAGAGGAATGTTCATCAAATATTCACACATTTTCTCCCCTACTGTGGAAGGAAGCTGTGTCCCTCCCACTCCTTGACTAGGAAACAATTGGCTATGGACCAGTGGAAGTGACAGTGTGCCAGTTCTGAGCTCAGGCTTTAAGCAACATGGTAAGTTTCTGCTCATCCTTCTTAGCACCTGCCATCCACCATAAGAACATGGCCTGAGTAATGACTGCTCCTTCAGCTTGAGTGCCGGAATGTAGACATACAGAAAACCTTGACCAGACCTGAAGCCTGAGGCCATCCAAGCGCAGCTGAGCCCAGGCAACCCACAAGCAAGTCTACAGCCAACTTGCGAGCGAGAAATAGATGTTTGTTGCTGTGAGCCACTGAGATCTTAGGATTGTTTCTGCAGCAGTGGCTGATTGAGAACATAGCCGAAGTGAATCTTTATCTCAAAGAGCGTGTCATATGGATGAACACATGTTTAATAATCAAATTGAACTACTTCGAGTCCTCCTCTTGCTACTGGTAACTGTGTGACTTTGGGAGATTCACTTAACACCTTCGAGTCTCAATTTTCTCCTCTTAGAACACAAATAATAAAATCCACCTCACAGGATGCTGCGGGGATTAAGTGAAATGCTGTTTGCAAGTTAAGGATCTAGCACATGACAGGCAAAGTTGAAATATTTACTCTCTTTTTTTCAGCTTTATTCCTGTTGGGGTTCCAATGGGTTCAAAAGTCTAAGGAAGACATTTTTTGAGAAAGGGATTTAAAGACGACATCGACCAAATCCAGGATCTGCGACAGAATCCAAGAATCTCTAAAATCAAGTTAGCTCTGGTGGAATCCCAGCCTCTTCTGGAAATTTTCGTGTTTTGATTCTGGGAGCATTCTGCTTATTTCCCCTAGGATTTAGCATTTTGTCGTGTTTTCAGCTAGCTGAGTCACGATGAAAGGACTCAGAGGATTAGTTTTATTCCCAAGTGGGCCAGGATGTGACAGGCGAGCATCCCAGCCCTGGGGTCAGTGGGCTGATAGCACAAAAGACTCCATGAGGAAAACTGAAATTCAACTTTCCCATCAGAAAACTTTCTCACATTATAAGTGATATCTATCTATCTATCTATCTATCTATCTATCTATCTATCTATCTATCTATCTAATAAATATATATATGTATATATATAGTGTGTATGTGTATGTGGTATCAGTCAGGATTCTTGTCAAGGAAGCAGAACCATAATAAGAATTATGAATTAAGGAATTTGTGTTGTAATTAAACCTACACAAAGGTGGGAGGAGCTTGGGAATTACAGGTCCAGGAAGGGCAGTTGGAAAATCAGAGAAAAATCTTTCCCCAGGCCCCCTGGGGCACTGGACGGGGAGGACTCAGCAGAGCTTACAGGAGAATTGGGGAAGCCAATTGGGGAAGCTGTCATGCCGGCTGCTGGAGTGGGGTTGCAAGGAGGAGGTGGAGAGACTGGAAGGCTGTTGTCTCCCATGGCTACTGCTTCTGAGACTGTAGCCCAGCATGGGGGTCGGGTGGGGGGACCAATATGTGGCAGGGGCCTCGAACTGTTATTGGTCAGAGTTGGGAAGTAGAGCTGGAAGGTGAGTAGGGGAGTTCCGACAACATGGAACCTGCCAACACCTTTCGGTCGGTCTTTGTCACTGTATCTGACCATGATGGCTTTCAGAGGTCAAAGGCTGCTGATTCACCCCTTCCTTCTGCATCCACTGCCTGCTTCTCTTTCAGGCAACTCTAACCCAGAGCCGTACAGAGAGGAGCAGTCTGGGAAGCAGCCCCGGTGTAGCCAGCTTGACACGACACAGAACTGCTGTACATAGATGTGTGTGTTTAATCACAAAATTTACACATGTATCTGCACTTGCTGAAACAAATTTAAATAAAATCATATGACATAAAATAAAAGTTTGTACTAATCTACGTGTTCATCAGCAGTGTATATTTATTTCTTCTGTTAATTTTCTGTCACTTGTGGATTATGTCCACATTGCATTTTTCTAATGCATCATTTGTCTTTTTGTCAATTTGTTGACTGTTAAACACAGTGTGAATATGTTCTCTAATTCGACTGATTATCTTTTAATTTTGCTTGTGGTGTCTTTAGTTCAGAAGTTTTATATTATTATGTATTTAGTCTTTTCGTTTATGGTTTATAAGCTTAATGACGTATCTAGACAGAACTTCTACACTCCAGGATTGTAAACCTTTCACTCATATTTTTGTTTCACTCTTTATCACATTTAGATCTTCAGGCTACACGGAATCTACTGTAATGTTTGAATGTGTAGTAAAGAATTTAACCTTGCCCCAAAAGAAGTCAGACCTTGATCTCAGCTTCTGGAAGGTGATCCTTCAGCCATTGAAATGGCATGGCTAATAGGAGTGTCTTGGTTTGCCTGGGAGCCTGGGGTCAGACTGAGTAGTCTAACTGCATGATTTATGGTGGAGGCTGGACAAACCTTAGAGCAGGGGCTGGCCGTGCCAGAAAGACCAAACAGCTGATCTAGGGTGGTGGGGGCTTTAAGTCATGTAGTATCAGTTCACCTAGAGACTGAAAGTAACTACACGGGCTGTCAATCAAGCAGTCATGTCTATGTGATGGAGCCCCAGTAAAGTCTCTAACAGCAAGGCTTCAGTGAGCTTCCCTGGTAGGCAATACTCCATGTGTATTTTACACATTGTTACTGACAAATCAATGCATCCTGTCTACATGGGAAGAGGACAATGGACACTCTGCATTTGTTACTTCCTCAGATCCCACCCTATGTTCTTCTTCCCTTGGCTGATTTTAATGTTTCCTTTCCTTGTAATAAGCCATAACCATGGGTATAATAGCATAGAACAATGAGTTCTATGAGTCATGATCAAACCTGAGGGTGGTTTGTGGAACCACCCAAACGCAGTTGCTGTCAGAAGTGAGGGTGTTCATGGGTGGAATATTCCCCTAACTCTGCAGTTGGCTAAACTCTTGAGGTGAGATGATGTAAGACTCCAACACTTTTTCTCTCTTTTTCCCAAATGGGCAGCCAATGTTATCAGCTCTTCTCTCCTGATACAGACTTGGAAGGAGAGCTCAGGTATATATTACACTCAGGGATTTGTTTGGAAATAAAATGGTAATCTGTTTCAACATGAAACTAGACTGTTTAAAGAAGTTTGTGGCTGTGTTGCGATCAATAGGATGTGGCTTTGAGGTTCTTCTTGGGCCATGTTGAAATCAAAGCCAAGAGATACAGTTTCCATACGGTGCCTCCCTCAAGCCCTGTTCCCATGACCATGTCCAGAGTTTCTATGCCCCTACCTCCTGCCAGGCCACCAGCCGTCACCCAGATGCATCCTCAGCAGGGTACAGAATTGACTCCTTTGGATAACATGAAGAAACCACAACATGGGGGAACCATCTGAAAGGCCTTGTTTCACTTCATGTCAGTTTCCTTTCCCCAGGGTCCCCCACTCCTCCACGTGTCCACCCCTGGGATATTTATTGAGTGATAAGAATTATCACCACAGCCCCCCCCACCCCCAACAGTGTCTTTCCCCGGGGCTCCTGGCCATGTCCTCATTGGAGGTGTAGGCTCAATAACCCTAGAGTTCACCTCAGTCGGGGCCAAGTTTTTCCCGCAATCCCATTGTTTTGTTTTGCTACTTAATCAAAAGCACATGATGCATACTTGCCCCCAAATCATCTTGAAGCTATAGGGTCACTTCTCTTAGGGTAGAAAGTCATGGGAGAGAACAGCTTTCTGACCCATTCTGTTTTGGTTGTGGAAGGCCTGACATAGCTCTTCGGATTGCTTTTGCTTTTCATCTCCCCTTTCTTCTGGCTGCAAGGATAACACACTTATGAATGCCTCCTGCCTCCTTCCTCAAAAGGCTGGCTTGTTTTTCTGTCCTCTTGTTTTCACATTCCAATGAGAGCAGACTTCACAAATCTAGACGTCTTCCTTTTCAGCTTCTCTTTTCCCTCTGCACCAGGAATCCAACGACCTTGGCCTTCAGGCAGCCGCGTGCTTAGTCCCAGATTTTCCCATGCTGAGGTTCAGCCCCTCAGGCTGGCTGCTTCCAAAAGGGCAGCTCATCCACCCACCCTGCATTCCAGAGCCTGTGCCACAGGGGGAGTTGGAGGCGAGGAACACAGCCAAGCATTTCAAGCAGCTCAAGTGGACACAGGAAACCCTGATGAACACAACATAGCAAAATGCAATTTAGCAGAGAATGCAAAGTTAACGGAATTGCACTGTCCAATATGGTAGCCACTAGCCACAGGTGGCTATTGAAGTTTAAGTTAATTGAAAAAATTTTAACATTAACAATCCAGTTGCTCAATTGCATTAGCTGCGTTGCACGTGCTCAGTAGTAACATGAAGCTACTGACTACCATATTGGATAACACAGGTAGAGAACATTTCCACACTGCAGGAAGTTTTACACAACAGCACTGCTGTACCATAAGCCTTTCTTGGCTTGCCTGGAGACCTACTTCTACTGAGTTGTTTTGGGAAAACATTGGTTCCCTTTTGTGACTAACACCTTCCCTGTGTCCCTAGAGTCTTATCTTCCCTATGGCTGCAAGTCTTTCACTGCTGTGTCCCAACCCACATATTTTGACAGAGAATTTTATTTTCAAATTACCAGTGAGAATTTACACTTCGATTCTCAGTAGACCTGCTAAAATGAGAATCAGTGCCATCAGTTACAAGCATTGAAAACCCAGTAGGTTTTTTTTTTCTTAGAGGTCTTTTATTCATTAATTCATTCATCTGTCTATTTTTATTGAGGTATCATTGACTTACATTACGTAAGTTTCATGTGCACAATGTTATACTCTTACTTCGGTGTATCCCACAGCATGCCCACTACCAAAAATTTAGTTTCTATTCATCACCATACAGTTGCTCCCCTTTGCCTGTTTCACCCTACCCACTCCTCCCTCTGGTAACCACTGCTCTGTTTTCCTGTATGTATTTGTTTTTCTTTGGTTTGGTTTGGCCATTTATTTTGTTTTTATTAGTCTTTTTGTATTCTTCATACGAGTGAAATCATGATATTTGTCTTTCTCCATCTGATTTATTTTGCTTAGCATAATAGCCTCAAGTTCCATCCATATTGTCACAAATAGCAAGATTCCATCTTTTTTATGGCTGAGTATTAATCCATTGTGAAGATATGTGTGTGTGTGTGTGTGTATTCATTATCTGTTCATCTGCTGATGGGCACTTAGGTTTTTTCCATATCTTGGCTATTGTAAATAATGCTGTGATGAACATAAGAATGTACATATCTTTTCAAATTAGGTTTTTTTTTAATTCTCCAGATAAATATTCAGAAATGGGTTAGCTGGATCATATGGTAGGTCTATTTTTTAATTTTTGGGGGAACCTCCATACTCTCCTCCATAGTGGCTACATCAGTTTGCAAGTCCTACCAACAGCATGAAGGTTCCCTTTTCTCCACATTCTGGCCAACGCTTATTTCTTGTCTTTTTGTTGATAGCCATTCCGACATTGTGTTTTGTTTCATGTTTCAGCTCTATGTTTATGTTTCACAGTTACCCTGAGATATAAATGAGATACATAAAATGTCTTACAAAGATATCACCTCACACCTATCAGAATGGTCATCATCAAAAAGAACACAAATTACAAATGTTAGCGAGAATGTGGAGAAAAGGGAGCCCTTATACACTGTTGGTGGGAATGTAATTGGTGCAGCTGCTGTGGAAAACAATATGGAGGTTTCTCAAAAAACTAAAAATAGAACTGCCATATGACACAGTAATTCCACCCCTGGGCATACATCCAAAAAAACCCAAAAATACTAATTTGAGAAGATACAATGTTCATAGCAGCATTATTTACAATTGCCAAGATATGGAAACAAACCTAAGTGACCATCAACAGATGAATAGATTAAGAAGACAGATATATATATAATGTGTGTATATATATACATATATATATGTATATATGTATATATATATGTATATATATGTATATATGTATATATACAATGGAATACTACTCAGCCATTAAAAAGAACAAAATTTTGCCATTTGCAGCAACATGAGTGGACTTCAAGGGCATTATGCTGAGTGGAATAAGTCAGACAGAGAAAAATAAATACTATATCACATCACTTGTATGTGGAGTCTTAAAAATACAACAAACTAGTGAATAAAATTTAAAAAGAAGCAGACTCACATATACAGAGAACAAACTAGTGGGTACTAGTGGGGAGAGGGAAGAGGGGAGGGGCAATATAGGGGTAGGGGAAAAAGAGAGTTATTATGGGATTATACAAAATCACGTGTGTGAAACTTTTGAAAATTGTAAAGCACTATAGAATTTAAAGAATCTTTCATTCAATAAAATAATAATGTATACCTAAAAAAGAACAGGGAGTATTATGTATATAAAATATTTATCAAATACATTCAGCTAAGTTTTTAAAGTCTGAGAGCCTATATACACTAATAAAACGAACAGCCATTTTTGGACTCTTGTGGCAAATACATTACCATTTAAAAAATATCTCATTTCTCTTTCCTCTTCTACTTGTATCATTTCTAGATTTCTATCTTTGAGGTCATTAATTCTCTCATCCATATGGTCTGCTCTATTTCCAGTGCTTTCTAATGCATTCTTCATCACATCAATAAATGTTTGGTTCTTTTTTAACGTTTCAAACTCTTTGGTAAAGTGCTCCTTCTGTTCATTAATTTTATTCCTGAGCTCATAACTGCTTGTATGAGTTTTCTTGTAGTTTGTTGAGTTTCTTCATGACAACTAGTTTGAATTCTCTATCAGTTAGATTGCTACATTCCATGACTTTAGTTTGGCTTCTAGAGAACTGTCATTTTCTTTTTTATGGTATAACGTTACTGTGATTCTTCACGGTGCTTGATGAATTGTTCCGCCGCT